TCGAAGTATGTACAGCGTGAATACATAGTGGAACCGACCATAATTCAGCATAATTCAGCATATTTGTTGGCATAATTGTGGCATAATTTGACGATTGGCCGAGCATAGTCCGCCAATGGTTAATGACAACCATCCACGGTTGGTAGAGCCCCGGTGCGTTGGGACCATCTGAACCATAATTTCATGGGTGTTCGGAGAGGATATGTACATGTAAGAACAGTCAGATGTGAATGTTGACGTCATCCTGCTTCTACATAATTGTACATGTAGGTACTAGGTAGGCCTGGGCCATGGCTGGAGTTGCTCGAAAAATATTCGTTCGATTCTGCATCGATTCACATCGAGCCGAACTGAATCCAACCCACAAGCTTACCGACAGTTAGGCTGCTAACGCGACTGAACAAAATGATCCGGATATCCACGGAAGTATCAGACGACAGAAGTTGGAGGTCATATCCTTATCCGACAGCCAAACGTCGCTATGGTTTATTTTCTGTCACTTTCCTTGGCTCTGACCGCTGGAATGCCCTCCCAGCGGAGGTCCGCTCAAGTAACAGTTCTTCCCTGCATACCTTCCGTAATTCTGTTCTTCATTTTTTAAGGTACACTGTACCCTGTCAAAAGGCCGTAGGCCCGTGGGGATTGCCCTATCAAAAATTTAATAATAATAATAATAATCCGCGACGTCCATCTCCAAAAAGAACTCGACCATGCTTTGTCTCCTGACGATACTGTACTAGGCGGCGCTAGCGCTATGCGCTATGCAAAAATAAAATATTTGAGGGGAAATAATTTTTTCCGAGGAATATCGCATTGTTATTAATATTACCCGTGGCCGTGGCGGGAAAGGTGCTGATTGGCTGGAGTACTCGGGCGACGTTGAATATAGCAACATCGCAGCATTTATCTGCTCCCGCTCTGAACGCAACTACTGTAGTTCCCTTCGTCTTCGCTAGCGATGAAAACAAGTCACTGGAGTTCTGAGTCCTGAGCGAGACGAATTGCTTGTCCATCATCATGGTGGCTTCGAATTCGGATTTCGAAGTTGTCGATGAGAACTCGCCATCTCGGCGGTTGTGGGACGTTCTGCCGTTCTCCGAAAAAAATAATGGCGAACCGTCCGCTGACTCGCGAGAACAGGCTCAGGAAAACAGCTTGGCAAACTTCAGGGACTACATTTGGATAATTTTCCACCAGATAGTTGGCGAGTTGTCCAACGAGAGCGTACGTGAACTCGCTCTCACTGAGTGGCGGATGTACGAAGCATTGGCACCTGTGCTGCAGAGGAGGAAAGCCGAACTGTGGGCACTCCTCAGAACGCCAAGAGAACTACTCGGCCGCACGCGCACTATAATAAATTTACAAGTGGGTTGGCGTAGAAAAATGAAACCAGCTACATATATGTCTCACCTGAGCCAGGTGGACATCATATGTTTCACAGGCTGTTGCACTCCCGCACTTTCGCCTAACTCGGTCTGCGAGAAGCGCCTGAGACGTTTTAGACGAACTCTACGACTGGGCGACAGATTGATGTGCTATGTTGGTTGGCGTTATGTGCTTACTCTGCAGGTGTACGAATCCAGGACCTGTGACAATGAGCCATTACAGCTCGGATTCTTCCACAGAGCGCAGTATTGATGGTGGTGATGTGGACGGCAACCGCGCTACCAATTCAACCGGCTTTTTTCAAAGCCACCCAACAATAATTCAAAGAAAGATGGTCTCAATTCCTGTTTAGAATGCACACACATGTACACACGCACGCTCGTACACACACACACACACACACGCACGCACGCACACACACACACACACACCTTAACCTTGATCTTGCCCATTGCAATGATGGTCAATGTCGGAAAATTCAAGTGAGAACACGAGCGCAGAACTTGGCATGCCGTTTCAGGTCTCTTGGTCGACGAAACGGGCGTTCACAGACACAGAGAAGAGGATCAGGAGCGAACTGTGGCGGTGGAGTGCTACTCGCAACTCGTCTCCAGCCGGGACGCTCTTGGCAACTCTCAAGCCAGGTGGTCACGCCGAGGTCCGCCAGGTCAGTCGACACCAAATCTCGCCACCTCTTCTTCGGGCCGTGACGAGGACGTTGGCAGGCAGCTCGCCGAAAAGCAATTGCTTCGGTGCGCGGGCATCGTCCATCCTGCCGACATGACCCAGCCAACGAAGACGGATCGTGCTGGTGATGTTAGGGTCAACACCGAATGAAGCCGCTAATGTGGCCGTTGTGATCCGATGATCCCACTGTTGACGACGGCCGATACCCACGATGGACCGAACACACTGATGGCGAAACGTATTTTGCTTCTGGAGGTGGCCTGCCTTGGTGGTCCACGTCTCCGCACCATACAAGAGGGTCGTAAGGACGACAGCCTCATACACACGCCTCTTGCTGCGAAGCGACAGGGTCATGTTATCAAAGACGGGAGCTTTGAGGGCTCCGAACACAGCTGAGGCTTTCGCAAGGCGAGAGCGGACATCAGCACAGGCAAGACCGTCCGAGGAGAGCACATTGCCAAGGTAGGTGAATTGGTCCACCACCTCAATCGTGTCTGCTCCGACAACAACGTCACAGCGATCAGCAGACTCACCCACAGCCATACCCTTGGTCTTTCTCACACACACACACACACACACACACACACACACACACACACACCGAACACAGGGTGGATATGTTCTTAGTAGCAAGATTCGAAAAACAGTTAATGGACCCTTGCTACAAGCCTGTATTTCTCATCGAGCATGATGTTTTCTGGACTCCTAAACTATAATTGATTTGGTCTACGTAAGGTGAATGATGAAGGTGCTAGGTAGTGCTTGGCTGGTAATGCTTGAAACATTATTGCTAGTTTCTGCTCAATACTCACAATGCAAAACGTTTTAAAATTTTGCAGAACTACACAAAGCTAATGCTAGCTACAGTCAACTTCGCTAATAACGACTGCGGAAATAACGACAATTCGCGAATAACGACAGAATTTCCATGCCCAGAGCAAAGTCCCATCCTACTGGATTATAATGAGACTTCGGGTATAACGACACTTCGCGAATAAGGACACCTTTTTGATGCCCCGCCGAGTGTCGTTATAAGCGAAGTTGACTGGACTGTTAAAACTTTCGCTCAACATTGTATATGTTTCGCTATTTTCGCGACCAGCACGCACCCACACATCCGCGAATATAAATTGCCGGAACTACTCCGTAAATACTTGACTGTGGACAGAACAAGATCCTACTGAAGAGACTGAATTGCAAAAGTGTCTCACCGTCGACCAGCCCAATTCATCAAGAGATTCAGTACGCAAATTTGCGTGCTGCAAAAGTTTATCGCTGTACAGCAATTACGCCAATCTATTCCCAATAACAATCGTGTGAGAACGTTACAAATCATAAGCCTGCTGTTTAATATACCGTATTTCGGCGTAAGTTAGTTCCCCCTATGACTTAGTACCCCCCCCTATAAAAAATACACTTTCCACTGCCGAGGTTATCACGCCGAAAGATAGTTCCCCCCGAAAGATAGTAAGTTCGTACCCGTCCTGCATGTACGGACACAGTACAGTACATACATCATATGCACGGACACTAGAGTCGCGCAGGCTTCCCACTGCGTGTCATTTACCCCCGATCAAAAAAAGTATTCCCCGAAAGTTAGTACACATTACCGTATTTCCCCGTAAGTTAGTACGTACTAACTTACGGGGAAATACGGTAATGTGTACTAGTACAGTCATGTTCGCTAATAACGACTGCGGATATAACAACAATTCGCGAATAACGACAAAATGTTCATGCCCAGAGCAAAGTCTCATCCAACTGTAACACATATAATGAGACTTCGGGTATAACGACACTTCGCGAATAAGGATCGTCGACACTTTTCTGATGCCCCGCCGAGTGTCGTTATAAGTGAAGTTGACTGTATGTCGTGTTCTAAAGATGATGAAACAATGTGACGAAGTTGTTGGCCTCTAAGTAAATTCCAACGCCTTGAGCCTGATAGGCAAGTTTCAGCAAATATCCCCGGCCCGGGTATTCCATAATTATAGTATTTCCATGGGCATTCAAGTGAACCGTGACTTCACAGGTTGGGACTTGGCACCATAAAGTTAGATGTTTGAGAATGTGTGTCTCCCCCTCCCCCCCCCCCCCCCCCAGAAAATACGCGTACAATGCAATCTTGAAGACCGACTAGAACCTCTGCGGGGACTAACAGTTGCGGGAATACCTGTAAGCATGATTTAAAAAGCTAACAAAGTGTGCATCTGTCGGCAGATGAAGCTAGCAACTGCAGACAACAAAGAACGGAACAAAGGCCAATACAACTGATGAGTAAAAGCAAGAAAGCAAGCAGAGAAAGCGATTGCCAGTGGTATACAGGGAAAACACAGCGCTAATAATACGTATCAATGTAGCAAAGAAATTGTAAAAAGATAAAAACAAAAAATAATAATAATGGACTACAAAACTTGAAGACGATCGTACGAGCGGGGAGAAGTGTAAACAAATTTCGAGAGAGGAAAGTCGAACGCAGAGAGAGGAGAGTAAAAATTACTTGAAGTAGATTTTTGTTATCAACACATACAGTTCTGGTGGTCACGGAAGAACTGGGCGGGGAGGGGATGGGGGGGGGGGGGGTGAGGGGGGGGGGCAGCCTTGTGGCCTAGACCGTTCTAATTTCATCTGTCTACAGATGAGTACTTCGAAGTAACAGTACTGGTTGGCATGGAAACGGTCACCCGATTTTTTTCGGGTGAAAAAGCCGAAGACCAAAACGAATCCACCAAAGCTATAGATAAGGCAGTGGGTGAAGTTGCACGCAAACACGACATTCACAAACGTCGCTACCCACTACGCAGTAGATATCATGTGCCTAAGCTACACTACGGGGGGGGGGGGGGGGGGCTAGGCAAACGGGGGTGGAATTCTAGGAGGCCTGCCTGCAATGCCTGAGATACAAATACAAATTAATAGTTATGATA